ATCCACCTGCCTCTGCCTCCCGAGTGCTGGGACTAAAGGTGTGCGCCACCACCACCTGGCTTTAACCAGAGCTTCTTACTTCATACAACACATGATACATGTGCATTTTACCTAGGGAAGTGTGATCTTTAACACCAAGGGAGGTAAGTGTACTATGAAGATAGTGATAAATATCCCTAGCACTTGAATGGCTTGATTCAGTTCCGTTTACTAATTCTCACAGTTCTTTTAAAATTCCCAGCATCCATCCTATTAAGCAGATACAACGATTGAGCATATCTTAGAAAATAGAGTAGCCAGGCATGATGCTGTCATTAATCTCAGGAGTCAGAGGCAGGCAGATCTCTTGATTTCAAGGGCATCCTGGTCTACATAGAGAGTTCCAGGCCAGCAAGGATTATATAGTGAGACCCTATCTAAAAAGAAGGAGGGGAGGCTGTGTCAGTGCATTATTCAGTGGAGTTTTCTCTTCACTGAATAATGGGAGGGAATGTGCATATGATGTGGCATGGTCAGAGACAACTTCTGGAAGTTGATTCTCTCCTTTCATGGGTTTTGGAAAGTACCTTTGCCCACTGCTTACCCCATACAGTTGGAGCACTGTGCAATAGCTTAAAGAAAATGACTGTGAGTAGGTGAAAGGTGGATTTGATATGCAATCTGTATATGTGAATCCTTCTTCATGATAAATGTAATTACATGTATGAAAAGTAGGAAAAAGACTCACAGGAAAGAAGCATACCAAGTGTAAGCTGTATGACTTAGCCTAAACAAGAAGAGTGCGAGTTATATACACTTTGAATTTTTTTTTGTTAGATTTTTTATGTTGAGTGGATCTCGTTCTCAAAGTAAAAAGTTAAATCCAGTAAGGGATGGACAGTAAATCATTTTACCACCTCTTTCAATAAAGATTTAAGCTATGTAGCAGACCTTCAAAGTTAAAGTTTTCAGTAGAGGGTCCCTGAATAATTACTCATGGTTAAGTTTTGACTTGTGTTTTGCAGTATGACTCAGCCTGGCCTTTAGCTAATAGAAGCTTGTTTTGTCAGCATTTGAAATGTTTGGGTTATGAGTGTTTGAGGTTCCTGAGAAATGCTATTAGCATACTAACTTATGTCAGTAGGCTGTGATCCTGAAGACCGGTATTTCTCTGACAGGGACACGGGACACTGATTTTTTTTTTTTTTTTTTTTTTTTTTTTTTTGAGACAAGGTTTCTCTGTGTAGCTTTGGAGCCTGTCCTGGAACTAGCTCTTAGACCAGGCTGGCTTCAAACTGACAGAGACCCACCTGCTTCTGCCTCCCAAGTGCTGGGATTAAAGGTGTGTGCCACCAAAGCCTGACAACAGAGACACTGATCTTAACTCAGTTTGCTGCAGCAGTTTGGAAAGCAGTAATTCAGGGTTGATGAAGCTAATGACTGTAGTTCCAAAAAGCCTGAAGCATTTTAGTCCTGTTTTTTTCTTTTGGTTGGTTTGGTTTGAAGACAAAAGTTTCTCTGAATAGTCCTGGTTGTCTTGGAACTCACTCCTGCCTCTCTCTACCTCCTGAGTGCTGGGGTTAAAGGCCTGTACCATCACTACCCTGCTAGTCCTGTTTCTTATAAGAGAGTTGTAGCCGGGCGTAGGTGGCACATGCCTTTAATCCCAGCACTCGGGAGGCAGAGGCAGGCAGATCTCTGTGAGTGCGAGGCCAGCCTGGTCTCCAGAGCGAGTGCCAGGACAGGCTCCCAAGCTACACAGAGGAAACCTGTCTCGAAAAACAAAACAAAAAACGAGAGACAGAGAGAGAGACCGAGAGAGAGACAGAGAGAGAGACAGAGAGAGAGACAGAGAGAGAGACAGAGAGAGAGACAGAGAGAGAGAGACAGAGACAGAGAGTTGTTTTGTATTTTCAAAATAAGCCATTTCTAATCACAGTACACTGAAGCAGAGACAGGTGGATCTCTGAAGCCAACTTGGCTATCCAGAACTACCTTGTAAGTCCCTGTCTCAAAAATAATTAAGTTAAAAAAATAAACCATTTCCAGGGCTAGAAATGTAACTCAGTGGGAGTTCAGTATGCAAGAAGCCTTGAGTTCAACCCGACAGCACAGGCAAGCGGCTTCCTACTACAGTCCAACGTAGAGCACAAGAGTATACATACCTTAGGTGTGTACTTCTCCAGGGTTTTTTTGTTTATTTTGTTTTGTTTTAAACAAAGGAAACCTATTCTCATAATTTTGTTTTTATTGTGTAGTGCTGCTGGTTTGGCTTTGACAACATTCTCAGAGAGTTTCACTTCTAAAAAAGCATTGTGGGAGGCCAGTAAGATGGCTCAGGGGGAAAAGGCACTGCTGCCAAGCCTGATGACTTGAGTAGTGGAATATAACACTGTGGAAGAAGAGAAAAGTCTCTCAGAACTTACCCCTTGACCTCCACACATGTGCACACACAGAAATGCACATATTAAGTAAATAAGTGGAAGCTAGTGTTTTGTGTTTTACAAATATGTTTGTACCTTTTGTTCCCAAACTCTTTGGATTATGGCAATTTTCAAGAAATCCCTAAACTTACTCAGAGAGAATATTGTCATTCGTAGTTTGTGATAGGAAAATACACTTTGAAGATTTTTAAGATGAGCTGGGTAGTGGTCTCACACACCTTAATCTCAGCACTTGGGTGGCAGAGGCCAAGTGCTATGATTGATCTGTGAGTTCAAGGCCAGCCTGGTGTTTACAGAGCAAGTTCCAGGACTGCCAGGGGGCTATACAGAGAAATCCTGTCTCAGGAAAAAACAAACACAAAACAACAACAAAAAAACCCTGATTTTTTAATGAAAGAAAGTAGTGACCACAAAACTATTGAAAAGTAGCATCTGAAGGGAGTTTCCCTTTGTCTCCAGCGCCGGCTGTGCTATGGAACCAGATCCCTTGGCAGTAGAGCTGCTTTAAAACCCTGATGACAGGGTTTTAATATGACCAAACCATATTGTCTCTCTCCTCAGTGAGGAACTTGCCTTTTCACTAAAAGTGCGGCTCTTCCTCTGTGAGGCTGGCATCATAAGAGAGAATTACCTAACATGCTTTCAGCCAGACTTCTTAGTGGGATGAACCTGACTCACCAACCTGTTTGGAGCATAGCCCTTGGGTTACTTGAGGTGAAGGAGGGACAGCATGGCTGCAGTCTAAATGCTGATCTGAGAGTACACTGAACTGGAATAACCCTGGTGATAGGGACAGTGTGGTGTGATGTGGACCTGTGACCCTTCCCTAGGGAGTGAGCCCTGGCAGGAGAGGCAGTGTTGCCGGAACTCAAGGTTTCTAGGCCGTGAGCTCACACCTGGAATGGAACACTGGTAAAAGCATCTACAACATGACTGGGGACTTGAGGCTTGTTTTTAAGTTGTCTAATGGAGGTAGGGGAAGAAAGCTGTTCTTTGGTTTTCTCTGAAAGGCCAGGGAACATTACTGAGTGAGTATCAATTTCAGTAGTAGGCCCTGAGGACTTTGTACTTAATAAAACATATATGCATTTGTAGTCTGTGGAGCAGAAAGTTCCAAAGAGAGATCACCGTTGCCCTCCAGAAGTCTCGGTTCTGTTAGTATGCTGGATTAGAGGCACAAAAGGAGTTTTATCGGGTTGGAGTGGTAGTTCAGTGGTTGAGTGTGGCGTAGCGTGAGCAAGGCCCCAGGTTGTCTTTAAAATTTGGGGTTGGGATTTCTGCACACAGAAACTAAAGCAAATTAATGTTTGCCCATCTGGACATTTGCATCATGGTAGAAAAATGTCTCAGAGCTTCCCATGTAGTGTACATCCTAGGCCTGACCCTCAGCTCTGCTGCCATGGTCCACCTGACTCTTTCCTGCTGTGCCTAGTTTCTAGTCCTTCTCAGGCACCGGACTGACTACTCATCTCCACATACACATGGCTGTTCACACGTCTGCTGTTTTGAGTGTGCCCACTCCATTTAGAACACGTCTTCCCTGCTTCTCTAAATCCCGTCGGCCATCAGGGGCTCGTTCCATTCCCATCCTCTCTGCACAGCCTTTCCCAGACTCTGCAGAGCATAGATAGCTGTGCTGTGGGTGAACTGATGGGGAAGAGAATGGATCCTGGGGTTACTGCCTAGGGTCCTTGGGCTACAAGGTTTTTCTTACCTATATTTCATCATCTGGAAGACTTAGGAATAATCATTACAGGAGGCCCTTAGTTCTGCTGACTAAATTAATTCACATTCCTATAACCTATAGAGAGCAGTGAGGAGTGGCTATTGCTATTCTTGCTCATAGTATCTTTTTAACTATAGCCTTCTTGTGTTACTGTCTGGTTCTTTTAATCATTATTTTTTTTTGGCCCCTATTGAAGTTATAAAGTCTTCCTATGCAGAAGGGACTTGATGTTGCCCTTTTGTTCTTTTACTGTTTTGTTCCTTTCACTGCTTGCTTATGTCCTTACATGACTTAAAATGGCATTATTATTGGCTAGATGGAACAAGAAGTAAGGAATGGCAGAGTAGTAAGGTAGGTTTTAACTCATAATTTTCTTACTAGTCCCTTCTTTTGTTGAGCCTTAATGAACTCTTCTCTAATCACCAAAAAGTGTGAATGTTACTTAGCAAGGAGGCTAGCCATTTCCGGAAATGGATAGAGAGCCTGTTATGTGGTAACTCTCAATGGTGGGCTGGGGGTGGGGGACACTACAGTCTGATCTAGGAGAGTGTCAAAAAGCAAAGTCAGTGCCTAGGTCCTGAGTTCATTGTTTTGGCAAACTTTTATTGCTAAAGAACTCTGGCAATAGGGAGAGGACTTTAGTGTTTAACCCTTCTGTTTTTCTCGTTTCCTTTATACACAGCCCAGGTACTCTCAATGTCACAGCCTTTGGGGGCGGGGGATAAAAAAATTAGCCCTCCTGTGAAAGGAGTCATGCCATAGAACGACTATGTGGAAGATATCCAGTGCGGACCCTCAACGAGCCCTTGGGCCCTCTCCCAGATGAAAATCTACCTTTCTCCCTTTCCCAGGCTGGAACAAGACATCAAAAAGCTAAAAGCTGACCTGCAAGCCAGCCGGCAAGTGGAACAAGAGCTACGCAGTCAGATCAGCTCCCTCTCAAGCACAGAACGAGGGATCCGCTCAGAAATGGGCCAGCTCCGGCAGGAGAACGAGCTGCTGCAGAATAAGTAAGTATGTGCTCCATGTGGGCCCTAGGCAGTGCCTCCTGTGACCAGGGGGAGGACACACAGACTCAGGCCAGCCAGGAGACACGCATGGCCCAATCTCTCCTGCTCACTGACTGTTAGATGCTGAGTGTTCTCATCAGATCTACACTTAACTTCAGTCCAACAAGAGTCATTAATAGCATCTTTCCTTTAATCACATAGTTTAACTATTTAATATTGGTTACTAAGCTTTTGTGGTAAATAACCTTGAGAAGAAGTTCTGCTACTTTTTTAAAATTTTGATACTTTTCTGAGGATTAGACCTTTGGATGTCAGAACTCAAAAATTATATTAAGCCTTGGTTTTATTTGAGGAGATAGGCAGTAGCGAGTTCTTTTGTGTGAATTCCTATAAACTTTCCTTTAATCCATTTTGGAGTTAGCTGTTGACTCTGTGTACAAAGTTCTCTCTCCAGTCTCTAGCAGTGTGTGTCTGTAGCATTGATGCCTCTCACAGGCTTCGCCATGAAGAATACACTCATAATTCTAGGAATTAACTGTAACACTAAAGAAACCCCTCTCATTCTGAGCAACTTCTGCAGTTCTTAGCATTGGCCTCTGCCAGACAGTCCTTTGACTCGCTCCCTTCACCTTGCTCTGTGAGGCTGGGGGGACCTTAGTGGCATGAGAAAGGCCTTGCACCTGGGAAGGAAGGGCTGCTACATGGCTGTAATTCAGAAGGGCCAGTGTGGTAGTGCACACTTGTAATCCCACAACTCAAGGCTGAGCCAGGAGTATTGCCACAAGTTCAAGCCCAGCTTCTAGGTTACAGAATAAGACATCGAAGAAAACAACTGAAAAGAAAAAGATAGACCTTCCCTTCCAACCCATTTTAGATTCAACAGGACTGGTCCAATTAGAAGGTCTTAGGACTTTTTTTCAGTGTTCCGGGGTACTAGAATTAGCTCTACACTCAACTCCTCTTCCAATAGATGCTTTCTGAGCCATATCTTCTGCCTGCCTGCTGTAGATCACCTAACAGAGTGGAGGGCAGGGCTGAATCTCAGTTACATCAAACAGGTAGCTTATGAGTGTTTAGGAGCCATTAAGTTGTAGTGACCCTGTGTTTTCTCTGGCACACTGGAAGTGTAACACTTTGCTGTGTGAACCTCCCGTGTACACCTGCCTAACCGAGGCTGCATAGAGGCCGTGGTTGTCAGGGCTTGTGGCAAATCTCTCTAGTAAGAAGATTCTATGTGACAATCATTTCCACATAGGTTACATAATGCTGTGCAAATGAAGCAAAAAGACAAGCAGAATATCAGCCAGCTGGAGAAAAAGCTAAAAGCTGAGCAGGAAGCCCGAAGCTTTGTAGAAAAACAGTTAATGGAGGAGAAAAAAAGGAAGAAGTTAGAAGAAGCCACTGCTGCACGGGCTGTTGCCTTTGCTGCCGCATCTAGGTATGTCCAATACTGGGGTGTTTAGTCAAGACTGGGGACTTGAGGCTTGGGTGGTGACAGTCAATGGTTTGTGTGGATGGATTGCTTTGTGAGTTGTTTCAGCTTGTTTCAGCTCTGCCTGGGCCAGCTTATACTGCCCGCCAACATTTCATCTCTCAGTGGACTCGCTGAGAGAGAGCAGGTGACAGAATCACTGTAGCCTCCTCTGTTGTCTGTGTGGTCACTAAGTGCTGTGAGAGCCATCTGCAGTCTATTCTTCACAAGACTGTCAGTGTTTCCAACACAGATGTGGGTGCTTTTGAGATTAATTAATTTTCTGTATATGAGTGTTTTGTCTGCATGTCTGTCTGTGCACCATGTGTGCAGTACCCATTGAAGTCAGAAGGCATTGGATTTCTTAGGACTGGAGTGATGGAGGGTTGTGAGCTGTCGTGTGGGTGCTAGGAACCAAGTTTGGGTCCTCTACAAGAACAGTAAGTTTTCTTAACTGCTGAGCCATCTTTCCAACCCCTGATTAGAGGTCAGAAGAGATAGCTCAGTTGACACAGTGTTTGAAGTGTGAGATTGAGGACTTGAGTTCAGTCACCATGTAAAAAAACTGGATGTTGTGGTGCCAAGCACCCTTGTAAAATGGCAGGTGAGTCAGTGCACATTGTAATCCCAGCTCTGGGGGCTCCTGGACTAGCAGATCTCTGAACCTCACTGACCAGCTTTGCAGAGACCCTGTCTCAGAAAACAAGGTGGGCAGCTCTTGAGGGATAGCACCTGAGGTTGACCTCTGGCCTCCATAGCACACGTAGACACAATACAAATTTTAAAATGGTGACCATGCCTTTAATCCCAGCACTCTAGAGGCAGAGGCAGGCAGATTTCTCTGTAAATTTGAGGGCAGTCTGATCTACACAGTGAGTTTTAGGTCAGCCAGGGTTACATAGAGACACCTTGTCTCAAAATAATAAAAAATAATTATTTTAGATCGTTGTTGAAATTTTCAAAGAATAGTGGGAAGTGTATTGAGCTAAAAGTTAAATTCAGGCAGAGTGGCACATGCCTTTAATCCCAGCATCAGGAGGCAGAGGCAGGCGGATCTCTTAGAGGCCAACCTGATCTACATAGTGAGTTCCAGGATAGCCAGGGCTACACAGAAAACCCCTATCTTGGGAAAAAAAATCACAGTAATAATTAAGCAGACCCTAGATTCTTAAGAGTGTGTAAGTCCTGCAGTAAGTACACTCAGCCTCCCCATCAGCTCTACAAATGGAGTCAACACAGAAAGTATTTGAAAGCTGGGTGTGGTGAGGTATGACTGTGATAAGAAGCTAAAAGAAAAGGAAACACTTGAAAATATAATTTGCAGCTGCTGGGCGTGCACAGATGGTTTCTTGCCATCAGTCCCTAAACTGTAGCATGATAACACTTCATATCGTTCTTTTACATTGTACTGGTTATTAGTAATTTAGAAACGACTTTATAAAAACTCTATGTAAAAACTGCTATTTTATATGAGGGATTTGACACGTGTAGATTCTGTATCCATGGTGGTCTGCAAACCAATCTCCCATGATAGGGGAAACTAACTATAAACCTTATTTCCTATGTCTTTTTCAAAAGGGGAGAGTGCACCGAAACCTTGCGGAGTCGGATCAGAGAGCTAGAAGCCGAGGGCAAGAAGCTCACAATGGACATGAAGGTGAAGGAGGAGCAGATCAGGGAGCTGGAGCTAAAGGTTCAGGTGAGGAGGGGGTGGGAGAAGGGCATCCCATCACCCGGTCCCCTCCCGCCTGCTAGTGTGTGTACTCCACTGTAGAACAGCACCTCACACCAGACCTCTCTCTGTCTCATCAGCCACACAGAGGGAACTTAAAGCTCCAACCTTGTCCTGTTTGATGCAGCCAGGTCCTAATGCCAGCTGCCAGTTTTGACAGTCTGTTGTGAACATCAGCCCAGAATCTGTCTTAGCAGGGAGTCCTTTAACTTTTTAAGGCTATAGACGAGGTTCATTCCTATGGGACCTGCATCTCTCCTGACCTCCTGTCCACTGCCACCTGGTGGCTGTGACCAGGCAGGTGGCAATGCTGAGCATGTGGAGAAAAGATGCCGGGGCTGTGGACATAGGTGGGCTGTGTCCCTTAACCAAGAACTTGGTAACAGCTTTTCAAAGTGACATTAAATTAATGTCATTTTGTAAAGAGCATAGTAACTTAAATTGTGTGAGACTGATAGGAAAACACTGGCAAGTCAGTGGAGCACAACGGATGGCTTGAGACAGAACTTAAAGTATGTAGTAAAGATGGCTTCAGAAATCGGCAGGAAAGGGGAACGTGAGCCAGGAAAAGGGTTTCAAATAGCTGGACAGTGGGGAACATAAAATTAGAGTTTTATTAACACAGAAAAGGAAATTACAAAGAATTGAATGTAGAAAAATACAGGAAATAAAGTTTCATTTATTTCATCTTGAGACACAAGAAGACCTTCTAAGCATGAAAACAGTAGACAAACTCACAAACAACACCCCAAAAGAGTTGAATAAGGCCCAGGGCGTTGGTGGCGCATGCCTTTAATCCCAGCCCTCGGGAGGCAGAGGCAGCCGGATCTCTGTGAGTTCGAGACCAGCCTGGTCTACAAGAGCTAGTTCCAGGACAGCCTCCAAAGCCACAGAGAAACCCTGTTTCAGAGGGAAAAAAAAAAAAAAAAAGAGTTGAATAAGATAGAGATACTGGAGGAGGGGACTGGAGAGATGGGTCACTGGGAGGTCAAGAGCACTGGCCACTCTGGCAGAGGACCTGAGTTCAATTCCTGTCACCTACACAGTGGCTCACAGCTGCCTCCTGTTCCACAGGATCTGATGTCCTCTTCTGACCTCCACAGGGACCAGGCTCACATGTGGCAAGCAAACATACATGCAGGCAAAACATTCATACAATAAAGATATTTTAAAAATTTTTAAAAATGAGAAATGCTCACTGAGTGTGGTAGCACACTCCTTTAATACCAGCACTCAGGAGGCAGAAGCAGGAGGATCTCTGTGAGTTCCAGGACAGCCAGGTCCACAAACTGAGTTCCAGGACAGCCAGAGCTACACAGAGAGACCCTGTCTCAAACTAAACAAAACAAAAAATACAGATATCAATGAAGATGAAAAATAAGTAGCACTTTTAGAATATGAATAGCTGATGAAAGTTACAAGCATATACAGAGAAATAAAGGGTGCAGACAGATAATTTACAGAAGAAACATAAGTGCTAAAAGTGGATCTTCAGGATCAACAACCTGTCTCATCATGCCAAGCCTAATAACCTCAGTTACCCACATGGTAAGTAGAGAACCAACTTCCATGTCCTCTGACCCCCAAATGCTCACCATCACACACAATCAAAATAGGGCCTGGAGAGAGGCTCAGTGTTTAGAGCTCTTGCTGCTCTTTTGGAACCCGGGTTCCATTTTCATCACCCACATGGTGTCTCATAACTAACTCTAGTCCAGCTGATCGACCCCTCTCTGATCTCCACAGACTCTTGCAAGTGCATGGTGCATATACATACTCTTAAGATACGCATATATTTAAATAAAATTAAATATTTTTTAAAATTAAGATTAATATAAACAGTTTTAAATATATTCTTATTAGCAAGTAATGACATGAATATAAAAACTGAACATTATTTCTCTCCTGTGAAACTGGCAAAGAATTTTTGTTTTGCTTTGACACAGGGTCTTATTATGTGACCCACGTTGGCCTCAAACTCATAGCAGTCCTTCTGCTTCTGCCTACCACATGCTGAGATTATAGGTGTGGGATGCCATGTCCAGCATAGGATTTTAAATGACAAGAACTTATCCGTGACCTACACCATGTTCAGTGTAGTGATATAGAGCTACACAAATAAAAAAGAAGGGAACAGTTTTAGTAATGGGGCAGATATTTGCTTATGGTATAGTATGTATACATAAAGAAACATCACCGAGCCATCAAAAGGCTTTTTTTTTTCCAGCCAGGTGTGGTGGCACATGCCTATAACCTAGTACTTAGGAGCCTGAATAGTTAAAATGCTGTAAGTTTTAGCTTGGGTTTTTCGAGACAGGGCTTCTCTGTGTAGCTTTGGATCCTATCCTAGCACTCGATCTGGAGACCAGGCTGGCCTCGAACTCACAGAGTTCGAGAGTTCTGCTTCTGCCTCCCGAGTGCTGGGATTAAAGGCATGCGCCACCAACACCCGGCACAATTTTAGCTTCTTAAAAGGCTTCAACTAGCACTGTACATAAGGTATGATTATATTAAAAGACTATGGGAGCCGGGCGGTGGTGGCGCATGCCTTTAATCCCAGCTCTTGGGAGGCAGAGGCAGGGGGATCTCTGTGAGTTCGAGACCAGCCTGGTCTAAAGAGCTAGTTCCAGGACAGCCTCCAAAGCCACAGGGAAACCCTGTCTCTGGGGAAAAAAAAAAAAAAAAAAAAAACTATGGGTAGCTGTCAGCTTTTCTGTATTTCTGAATTCTCTGAAGTAAATTTGGATTTCTATCTTTAAAAAAGTTCAGGCCATGCCTGGTGGCCCTGCCCTTCACCCTAGCACTTCGAAGTCAGAGGCAGGCAGATCTCTGAGAACTCAAGGCCAGCCAAGGCTATATGAGTTGCCAGCCTAGTTTACATTGTGAAACCATGTTTCAAAATGAAAAAAAGAATCAAGTTCAATACTGTCTGTATTTCCAACTATTATAAATGGGCTTTCCTATAGTTTGCCTTATCAAAATAACAAACATTTCTGCAATTTTTAGCACATATTTTTAGAAGTGTAACTTCAGCATAAGGCTAAGAAGAGTAGTGTCTCTGCTCTGAGTTAGTCTTGAAAGAGAGTACTTGATTTGGAAGGAGAAGCTACTTTTTTTCCAGCCATGTGCTCCATACAGCCCGCTGCACACCTTTGAGAATCTGAATATTGTGTGGACATAGCATGGCACATGCTCTAAGAATGAAGTGTAAACACAAAGTATCAGTATTCTCTGTTCTAATGGCCAGGTCAATAGGACTGGAATTTAATTTGTGAGTTCAAGTGTGATCTATATACATTATTATTACTAGAACTACTTAATAACATTGCTGGTTCAATGCTGTTGTTAGGAGCTTCGGAAGTACAAAGAAAATGAGAAGGACACCGAGGTGTTAATGTCAGCACTCTCCGCCATGCAAGACAAGACGCAACACCTGGAGAACAGCCTCAGCGCAGAGACAAGAATCAAGTTGGACCTGTTCTCTGCACTGGGTGATGCAAAGCGGCAGCTGGAGATTGCCCAGGGTAGGAAAGCGGCAGGCCCCATCGGGGTGGCAGGATGTGGAGGTCACAGGGCTGCAGAGAGTGGACCTCCCCTCAGAGCTCTGAACCAGAGAGGGCACCTCAGTGCGTGTGCCCTGCGTTAAGATTAGGAGTCCTATTAATTCACACTGCTGGTACAAGTTGAGATGAGAGCATATCAAGTGCTGGACTTACAGAGAAGACTGTGAATGTCTCCTCAAGGGGTTCACAGCTTTGGAGTCTAGAGCTCTGTCACCCTGTGTGTGGGCAACCTTTAGGGGCAGAGAGAGGCAGGGCCTAAAGCAGACTATAGAGCTAGGTGACATCATGGGAGCTGATGTTTAAGCTGGTCATGAATGATGAAGGGGTTGGGAGCATAGTGAGAGTGAGGGTCAGGAAACCTCCTTGCACAAGACACAGTTTCCCAGGACCTCCCAAGCTGCAGAAGGCTAGGATTGGCTTGGACAGTGCAGCAAAGGAGTCTAGAGTCTGAAGAACAGGGCTTCCACTCAGCAGAGAATTGCTGAGAGCTACTAGTGTCTGATAACTGATAGATACCTCACCAAGACAAGCAGTGAGCAAGCCATTACAGTATTTGTAAGATAGGGACCAGGGCGTTGAACAAAGAGGAGAAGAAGGGGAAGAAAGAGACCTCTTGTCACATGGCGGTCACAGAGGTCACATGTTGTGTTTAAGCAGAATGAGACCAGGAGCAGTGAAGGCAAAGCCCATGGGCACGGAAGAGGCTCACCAGTCTGCTGGCCCAGGTGGGGCAGGGGTAGCCGCAGCCAGGTTTTGTGGGGGTGTCCAGTGGAAAGAGCTTAGAACTTTAAGTGACATGGAGGGGTCCGGGAGGGTTCTGACAGAGGGTGGATGGCAAGACCCAATGAAAAGAAAATTGGATTTTTGTTCACAAAACAGATTAATCACCTAAGTGTCTAAAGTACTGAGAAAACCTTTCCACCAGTTGACCTGGTACATGGAAAGGTTACTTGAGTGTAGGACTCACCAATTAGCCAAGCTCTAGAAGCCACCATCCCGGAAAGCCCAGAATCTACTGGGGTAGCAGGGGCCAGATGCTTAAGATTACTGAGCACCCTGGATAAACTTATTTCATGTAGATTATCTAGCTGTTTCTCCCTACTGAATCTTAAAGCATCTAGTAATCCATTTAAAATGATGTAAACATATTACTGTTAATGATATTTTATGAAAATAACTATCATCAAAAAATAACAAGAAACGCCATTGTCTTACATTTATTATATGTATATTTACTTGTGACATTATAGAAAATATTTGCATGCTCTTCTCTGTTGATTTTGTGATTTTTACACTCTGCGCAGTTCACCAAATACCCAGCTTGTGCTTACTGCAGAAGACAGGGATGCTCTCTGGTGCTTTGTTGTCCTGTGGGTCCTAGCTGCATGTTGAGAATTGCTGCGTTAGGGCAAGCCAGGTAGACAGGATGGAGGAGATGGGAGAGCAGAGTGGGCACCGTGCGGCAGGAGCGAGTAGGCCCATGGGATGAACCCTGAAAGCAGAGACAGGTGGGGAGGAGCACAGTCCAGGAAGCAGGAGTGTAAGCTGGGAAAGAAGGCTCTGGGGCTGTCCAGGCCAGGATTCTGGTGGTCCCAAGCCTGGAAGCCATGAAAGAAAAGAGTGGAGCTTAAGTGGATGGTGACTAAAGTGCCCCGAAGAATGTAGTCCCTAGGTCTTCAGAGAAAGTGGGCTCTTCCAATGGCAGCATGAACACTGAACGTGAAGAAGAGCAGAGGAGCTGAGCGATCGAGAGGATCAGGGTGCTGGAAGCAAGGCAGAAGAGCAGAGACGTTCTAGGGAGCGAGAAAGGGAGTGTGTTTGGTTTGGGACACTGATTGGTAGGTGCTCTTTAGACACTCAGGTGAAGCAACTCATCAGTCTCTGGGAACTTCGGCCTTGCCTGGAAATGTTAAGAAAATAGAGAAGCTAAGAAGTTGGTAAACCCACCTGAGAGGCCTGGGGTGGCCCATGTGATTAAGCAGGGACAAAGGGTAGACATCAGGCTACCTTGTCTGTGGGCTCAGGGACAAGTACTTGAAAGAGTTCCAGGGATCCGCCTTGCAGCGGATCATCTCCCCTGCCACTAGCCCTTTCCTGTCTGGCTTAGCATTGAGGAATGGACACGTCTGCTTGACTGTTAGTCAGTGCTGGGATCTGTGCACTTGGAGAAGATCCCCTGGCACGGAAGCAGCACCTACTCTTTGGGGCCAGGGCATCAGGCTTCTTGGCATGACTGTACTCCACTCTTAGCCCATAAAAAGGGTCCATGCTGAAGCTCTTGGGGTGTTTTCCTCTTGCTAATTAAAGAAACGAGACTGAAGTCTGCATTTGAAAGACAGTAGCTCATGTATCAGGTGCCACTGAGTACTTTATTCATCTGAAGCTCATTGTGTTCAAGAGAAAGTGGCTCTTTGATGCTTACTTAAAACTTTGGGGCCCTGAAGGAAGTGAGGGTGCAGATCTTTTCTCCTGCTCTTGGCTCCTGCTTTCCCACTGCCTCCCTCCAGATCCTGTCCAACTTCTTAATTCAAATCCAAACCTGTTTCTTCCTATGCTGTTATTCATCCTGGTTACAAAGTGACTCTTCATCTTACTCCATCCCCTGGAATATGCTACCCAGACTTCTCACATTTTAGACACACTGTTGTCTTCACACAGTGAGGGCTGCTCACACACAGCCTCTTTCTTTCCCTAGGAGATCAGAGAGGCACCTAGCATGATGGAGACTGCATGGATTTGGAACAGGGTGGTCCTGGCCTCAGTCCTGCTCTGTCTTAAGAACAGATGGACTGAACAAGATGTGTAATTTGTGAAGACTTGGCTCTCCACTGGACTGGGTGCAGGGATTTAGCAGTGAGAAATTAAGAGGCACAGTCTTTGCCTCACAGAGCCCATGATCCAGCAGAGAGATGATGGGTCTAGTGCCATGGGGACATGTAGGTGCTACAGCCTGACCAAATGGAGTCAGCTCTGTCACTGGCAGTACTTGACCAAGTGGTATGCTTCCAGTTTCCTGTTCTTTCATTATAAAATGTATGGTACTAATACTCCTCTCTTCTGGTTGTAAGCAAGAAGCAGGTAGGTGTCTGTGAGCACTTAGACCCCTATGCCATTCTGGGTTTTAGCTGCTGTCGTTTTGTTTTGTTTTGTTTTGTTTTGTTTTGTTTTGAGACATGGTTTCTCTATGGCTTTGGAGGCTGTCCTGGAAGTAGCTCTTGTAGACCAGGCTGGTCTCAAACTCACAGAGATCCACCTGCCTCTGCTTCCCGAGTGCTGGGATAAAAGGCATGTGCCACCACCGCCTGGCTTAGCTGCTGTCATAACTAAGAGACTACACAACATAAGGGACAATTGAGGGTGCGTTGAGAATCTGGGACTCGGACATTGATGGAGATTGATGATCAGGGACCCTCAGCAGCCAGCACATACACAGAGGATGCATGAAGACCTAAGCTAGCAGATGTGCTGACGCAGCCAGCTGAATGCTGGGCAGAGGGCAGGGGGCATCTTGCCAGTAAGCTGGGCACCTGTCCCAGAATGTTATCTGCTTATTGTCAGAGAACTTGTCGTGACTGATCAAAGATCTTGGTGCTATGTTCCTTGGTCTAACACTCAGAGCCCAGCCTTCCAGAAAGGAACTCCAGCTTAGGAGATGGAGCACCTCTCAGGCTCCTACTTTCTTGTACTCCCACAACATAAGAGCTGCTCAGCGTTTTCTGTAGTTAGAAAAGGAAAATGGCAGAGAATAGCATATGAACCATGGTGCCTTAAAATGCCCTACTGTTGGGCTCTTTACAGGGAGGTGCCTGCCTTTACCAAACAGTGAGTATGGGACTGACCTGGGGTGTGTGTGTATGAGCCCTCTCTCCTCACTCATGCTAGGTCTTTGATCTTGCAGGACAAATCCTTCAGAAAGATCAGGAAATCAAGGACCTAAAACAGAAGATAGCCGAAGTCATGGCCGTCATGCCCAGCATAACATACAGTGCCGCCACCAGTCCTCTGAGCCCTGTGTCCCCCCACTATTCTTCCAAGTTTGTGGAGACCAGCCCCTCTGGACTCGATCCTAATGCCTCTGTCTATCAGCCCCTGAAGAAATGAAGGCCAGCTGTGTGTTTGCCCAACCATTTGGAACCAGAAGTCTTTGAAAAGCAGCGTCTCTGGTGGTCAAGATAAAAACGTTGATAATTGTGTTTTGTGGGACTGTATATGTTGTCATTTTTAAAGGGGGGAAATAACATCCAAGTCTGACTAGAACTGCCCATCAGTTGTTCTTGTAAGTTTTTAGAAGACCTCACAGGACTTTGCAGTTTATTTTTCTTGGCCAACACATTAAAACCATTCTTGGATTTCAAGTAGCCAATTTTGCCTTTCTATGTATTTTTACATAGTTTCCTCTTGAAGACAAAAAAAAAAAAAAAAAAGCAGAGTTTTTGCTTTTCAACTCTCTTTTGTTCTTAAATAAGCAAGAAAATTGCACATTGTATTCACACGGATGACAACAAAAGCTTATTTCCATCAGGAGAGGGCTAAATAACCTGACACAGCTCTGATTCCATAGCTGAATTAAAGATGATTATTGCTGTTACAGAAAAAAAAGATTGATTGCCCCTCCAAGGACCAGACACGGATCAAGGGAGCCTCATGAGAGAGACTTAAGGGGTGAGGCTAGCTTGCAAGCGTGTGACGGCGTGTTTGGAGTATTGACATTCCCATTGATGTGTAGTTATAGAATGTGTCTGAGAGCATTCTTTGCATCACCTTGAAAAGATATTTCAAGAGGAAACACGATCACTTTCCACTACCCCCACCTGCTCCTTTTCTGTCATCTGTCTTCTATTTGTCGAGTTCACTGTGGATCCTGTTGTACAGCTGGTAGGTGGCTGGGCTGCTGGTCACCGCGCCACCACAGGCTTTTTTCCATGGGAACCGCACAGGGTTCCATGCTTGCTGCCAGTCAAGAACCTTAGGGAGTCAGCCTGGTGGGTGTGAAAGAGGCCAAACGATAGCTAATGAAAGCTGTGGTCTAGGAGCGGTTCCCACGTGTCATTTGCTGCTCTCTTCACTCTCATCATCTCATGTGTGATGGTTTATGGGTGCTTGACTATTCCGGAGCTCTTGTGCCAAGGAGGATTTGTTGTTGTTTGTTTTTAAGACCTAAACTCTGCACAAAGATACTGGTTCAACTGTGTATTATACGTTGGTAGAAAGTGTCTGTGCAGACCTTTGAAAGTGTGTTAAGGATCAGGGAGGGGGAGGGCAGGGGAGAGAACGGGCAAAGCAGAGTTGCATTTGGAAGTTTGGGGAAATTAAGAAACCAAATCAATTGGCTTTGCTTCCGTGCTGTGTGTTCTGGAAGGACATAGTTCTAAAATTTCCTGTTGATTGGCATGTGTATCTTATTTAAAGCAAATTAGGTAGGACAACCAGTCAGTAAAATTAGAAGTATTAAAGAGAATCACCCTTTCAATCACAGATCTTATTTTGGAGTAAAACAAACTTCTAGCTTTAGCCAGGTGTGCATGTTGCTGCCATTTGCATTTTGAATCATCTTGTGTAACTGTCACCATGAAAGTGTTACTCAGAATTGTCACAGTTTTTTTTCCATCTTTGTGCAAAAACATGGAAAATTGTCACCAAGTTTGTGTTGAGGTTTCCCCCATTTTGCTGCCTTTGGGACACTGTTTTCGTTAAATACTTGGTCTTGGCTGCATTCTTTTTTTTTTTCCCCTGTGGGGTTCAAAAGAATAAACATTTTCTTACTGATAATTTAGTTTTCTGCCTTTTTAACATTCAGGAGGATACAGGAAGGTAGATGGTTGTGGTGGGACTGAGGTGTTGGCCAGTTTGTTTTCACCTCAGCTCAGCTCAGCTCAGCTCAGGTCAGACGGTGCTGCCACACACGGCACTGGGCAGGGAGCCAGCAAGGATCTGAGAGGTGTACACCCAGGAGCTCCAGCTGGTCTCATTTCTAAACTTCAGACACATTTACTGCCACCCACCTTCCCCCCACTTCTCCCCTTCTCCAGCATCCATTATAGCTAAAGCTGTCTTTGCTTCCGGTGCATTCCCCGTCACCAAGACCCAAATGGGAGTTGGCCAGGAAGTGACTGCTCCAGAAAGAGAATCCTGAGAACCAATTCCCTTCACACTACCTTACCCTCTTCCACTTTCTAGAATCTTCTTTGGCTACTTAATGACCAGTACCCTGTTGGGTTTCCCCTCTGCTATGGATCCTTAAACAACCTCCCAAGGTGAGCGATTCAACCCATCCCACCCCCTTGCCCTTGTTTTTAGAGGCTTGTCTGTTTTCATCTGAAAGGTAGCTACCTCTCTTGGCCCATGCTCTCCATCTTAGACATTATTACAGTTTATCTTGGATCGAGTTTCTAGAAAGTTTTGCTCTTGGCATCTCACCCTCTGTCCTGTTTCTGGATAGGCAGCTGAATCTTGGTCGTTAAGGCTTGCAGACACACCACACTTAATACCATGAGCAGAGTTCCCCAGGAAACTCTTGGGCTTGGCACTGGCCTTCGCATTCCCTGAAGGAGTGTGTCTGCCTGTGGTGCTCTCACTGGCACAGTCTTCAGTGCTAGGAATCACCACTTGTCTTGTTTGCCTGTCATAAAGCAACTCCACATCCTAAGGTTTGTGATTTATCAGATGTCATAAAGCAATGTTTGCCATTCTAGATGGTCCAGTATTTACAGGAAGGATGGACTGAGTGTGTTGTGACTGGCCAAGAATCCTCTTGGTTGCCATCCCCCAACTACATTAAGAAATGGCTCTTACATGTCCTTCCCACCTTGGTAATCCTTCCAAAAGATCCTAAAAGTGAGAAAGAACGACTGTGGCTCAGACCTGAGGGAAGGGACCACCCTTCACCCTGTCATCCCCTTGTCCCATGCCACCCAGAACAGCTGCTGTCTGATTGCTGCCTGTGACACAGTCCTGAGAATCATTGCAGGCCCAAGTCCAGCTACATTATAACAAGAAACAGTTGGTTCAGACCACATGGAAGGAACTGAAGGAGAGAAACCCAGACTGCCTCAGAGGTAAACGAGACAGCTCTTTTCAGGGTGAACTAGGGGAAGGATGGGAGCCAGGCTGACTAAGGTAAAGGTCTTAGACCTCAAGTGCCTGGCTGTGTGGGACTATGGTAATTGCTCCTCAGGTTCACTGCCTCAGTAGTGTCCTCTATTTTGTTTTAGAGACAGGGTCTCCCTGTGTAGCCCTGGCTGTCTTGGAACTCACTCTGTAGACCAGGCTGGCCTCGAACTCACAGAGGTGCACCTGCTTCTCCCTCCCTAGTGCTGGGATTAAAGGCAGGCTCTACCACGTACATGTGAGAGCCTGAAGTTGATGCCCAGGGTCATCCTCAGCCCCTCCCCCTCCCACCTTACTGAGGAAGAGTAAAATCTCATCAATATGACTAGTCTGGCTAGCTAACTTGCTCTGGGGATGCCCTGGCCCCACCTTCAGAGGTTGAAACTGAAGGTGGTCACCACACCCACATGGTACTTACTGTGAATTCTGAGGACCCCCAACTTTTGTTTCCACATTTGTATTGCAATTACTTTACCCACTGAGCCAGCCCCTGCCCTCGAGCACTTACCCAAGAACGTGGTCCCTGTCCAGAAGCCCTGCTCTACTGGGGTCCATCTAATCTAGAGCCCTGTGACCTGGACATACCCACCAAATAGTGGGCATTAGCCTCCAGCTTTGCTGCTGGTCCTGCCCTAAGCCTTTCTTATCCCTTGCTGCCTGTCCTCTCATAGATGCTACCAGTCTGTGACAAAATGCAGAACACTCAACTCAGCTATTCAGGGCCTCCCTGCAAAATCTGCCCCTCAACCAGGAGTCTCTGTAAGACAGACCTGATAGCTAAACCAATGTGACTTGACCCAAACGTGCTCAGCTTGTTAGCTCAGACCCTCGGCCTCATCTGATTCCACTTTTAATAAGGTCTGCACTGATTTCACTGATGCTTAGTCAGATGCCCCTTCCTAAGTGGTATCTCCAACCTGAAGATGTGAAATGGCCAAACGAGCCAACGTCTGGCTTCTGTTTTTGTTTTGTTTTGCTGGCCTCGAACTCACATAGATCCATTCACCTGCCTCTGTCTCCCAAGTGCTGGGATTAAAGGCGTGTGCCACCACCACCCAGCATGGCTTTTGACATTTAGGATGAAGAACTTAGCTGATAAGGGATGAAGGAGGTAAAGACCTCTAAGCCCTACTTCTTGTTTTGTTTTGACATAGAGTCTCACCATGTAGCTCTGACTAGCCTGGAACAGGCTGTGTAGACCTCTGCCTCAGCACTCTCTCCTCCCTCTCCCCTCTCCCCCCATCTAGGAGCCCAGGCTTTGAGAGTGAAGATTCCCCTTTGCTACACCTGTAGTGTCGGCCACACAACAGGTGTGCAGTCAGCACCCCTGACTGACCCAGGTCAGCTAATCGGAGCATGTGATCTGAAGTGTGTGTTGCCCATCGGAGCATCTTGTATCGGTGCCAAACTGTGGGATTTTAGACAAGTCTAAACAGAATGAGCCTATTTACCATGACGTCTCCCATCTGCCTGGCTCTGTTTTTGCTGAAGCCTTGTGTTTCTTGTCAGGTTCTCTCCACAAGTGCGTGCTTGTTCTAGTCAGGCGCAAAGATTTCTTCAACAGCTGGGCACTCTGAGAACAAGCCATTCTCTGGGGCACCCTGGCAGCAGGGGGCATGGGACAGGGGAGCCAGCCATTCTTTCTGGGGGCTTTTTGACTGGTTTCTGCCTCTCTCAGCATTTGCCTTTATTTCCTCTGTCCTTGCTTGAGATTCAAGCTCAGATCCCCTTGGGTTGGGCTCCCTGGATCCTGGAGTTGCCCTCTCGTTCTTCAGTTCCTCTCCTAGGAATGCCAGGTTTAGCCATACCCTGTCAAGAAGCCAAGCCGAGTGTCCCCTGGGAGCTGCTCTGTCCTGTTTGCCAACGGTGCAGTCTCTGGACAATTGGGGTCAACAGGGACGTGGAGCTGAAGGTGGCAGGGCCTTCTGTGAGGGAGCAGAAGGAGATGGACCAGAGCCAATGTACCAAAGTCAGAGGACAGGCTGCAGGAGTCAGTGCCCTGCCTCCACCGTGGGCTTCGGTTGTCAATTCGTTACCCCATTTAACTGCAAGCTCTTTTACTGGCTACCACTGCAGGTCTCCACACCTGCACTTCGCATCTTCGCCCTTCTACCCCACTCCCACCCCCATTGCTCCATGGTGGTGTCAATCAGAGATGGGCCTTTACTCTCAGAAGCCTGTGTGGGACCCATGCTGACTTAGGTAGGTGGTTCTCAAATTAAGGGTTCATAGGAATAGCCTGAAATAAACACTCCAGGTTCCATCCCCTGACACACAAGGTTTGGGGGATGGACCTCAAAATGTATCCTGAACAAGCTCCCGGTGAGGCTGAGTCCCAGGTCCTCTGCCCCACTTTGAGAGCCACTGACCTAAACCACTGCCACCAGAGGGCACAGGCCACCAGCCAGGGGTCCCTGCTCCTCCCCAGCCACCAGCACCACTGGGCAAAAGGTTCTTCCCCTAAGACTCCCTTCTATCTGCATGGCTCTCAGAATCTCTGACAAGTACCAGGTCACCTCCTGGGGGTGCTGACTGGCCAGGGTCTGGATAGACGCAACTGACTAAGGGAGGGATCCCCTGGCCTCCCTCCCTTGGGTGGAGAACCTTTGTTCAGAGTTCTTCTAGTTAAAATGGCAAGTGAGGGTGTTTCTTCTCTCTGCCGCAGATGTATCCCTAGATTTTCAACCGTTGCTTTTATAAGAAATGAATTGGAAAACCTTTCAAATGTAATTTAAAAGTCAACTCTGGGAAAAAAGAAGAGGTGTGGTAAGATGACCCAGGGGTTGGAAGTACTTGCTATGTGAGCCTGAAGACCGGAGTTTGATCCCCTAATTCCATGGTAGTGGCAGAGAATAGACTCCGGAATGTTACCCTCTGACCTCCATGTGGCCCATGGCACCTATGCACCTCCTCTCTCACACGTGCGCGCACACAACAGTGTGAAGAGGGGGGGAGGGGAAGGAAGAAGATTCAGGAGCTTGAGCAGCGTGAAGAGCGCGCCCTCCACTGATGCTTAACCCTTACCTGCTGCTTCTGTGGAGGGATCTGCCTGGGGGCTGAAGGGTTAGTGGGATCACAGGAAAGCTAAGGATCTGCCCCGTCACCCCTGCACTACACCCCGTCACTCTGTAGTACACCCTGTCACCCCTGCAGTGTACCCTGTCACCCCTGCAGTGCACCCCACCACCCCTGCAGTGCACCCCGTCACCCCTGCAGTGTACCCCGTCACCCCTGCAGTGCACCCCGTCACTCTGCAGTGTACTCCGTCACCCCTGCAGTGCACCCCGTCACCCCTGCAGTGCACCCCGTCACCCCTGCAGTGCACCCCGTCACCCCTGCAGTGCACCCCGTCACCCCGCAGTGCACCCCATCACCCCTGCAGTGCACCCTGTCACCTCCACAGTGCACCCCGTCACCCCTGCAGTGCACCCCGTCACCTCCACAGTGCACTGTCTCTAGAGTTGGAGTCCAGAGTGTTTGGGTTCAGATAGTCCAATCCAAGCACATCCCTTAAATCACATTCAGACATAGCCATTCTCGAATGCCTGGGAACGTCCATGGCCAAGTGGCTGGGAGCAGGCCAACATACTAAACCTCAGAGACATACTGGCACAGACTTCTGTGGCTTGTCAACATATTGCTTGTGTTGCATAGAATTTCAG